AACCTCTGTGGGAAATTCCAGTGTGAACCTCTGTGGGAAATTCCAGTGTAAACTTCTGTGGGAAATTCCAGTGTAAACTTCTGTGGGAAATTCCAGTGTAAACCTCTGGGGGAAATTCCAGAGTAAACCTCTTTGGGAAATTCCAGTGTAAACTTCAGTGGGAAATTCTAGTGGAAACCTCTATGGGAAATTCTAGTGTAAACCTCTGTGGGAAATTCTAGTGCTGTGGGAAATTCCAGTGTAAACCTCTGTGGGAAATTCCAGTGTAAATTCCTGTGGGAAATTCCAGTGTAAACTTCTGTGGGAAATTCTAGTGTAAACCTCTGTGGGAAATTCTAGTGTAAGCTTCTGTGGGAAATTCTAGTGTAGGGAAATTCTAGTGCTGTGGGAAATTCCAGTGTAAACCTCTGTGGGAAATTCCAGTGGAAACCTCTGTGGGAAATTCCAGTGGAAACCTCTGTGGGAAATTCCAGTGTAAACTTCTGTTCCTCTTTTGTGGTGGAGCAACGTTGGATTTTCTGACCCAGAGATGGAGCGACTGAGAGGTGTTTTAAAAACTTTTATTCTGTTTTCATTCACGTGTTGTGATTCACACCATCACAATCAGAAGCCAAATATTTCTTAATTACAATCTAGTAGAAGCGTATTACAGTGTAGTAGAGGTGGATTACAATCTAGTAGTAAAGGTGGATTACAATCTAGTAGAAGTGGATTGCAATCTAGTAGTAAAGGTGGATTACAATCCAGGAGTAGAAGTGGATTACAGTCCAGTAGTAGAAGTGGATTACAATCTAGTAGTAGAAATGCATTCCAATCCAGGAGTAGAGGTGGATTACAATCCAGTAGTAGAAATGCATTACAATCTAGTAGTAGAAGTGGATTACAATCCAGAAGTAGAAGTGGATTACAGTCCAGTAGTAGAAGTAGATTCCAATCCAGTAGTAGGGGTGTATTACAATCCAGGAGTAGAAATGCATTACAATCCAGGAGTAGAAGTGGATTCCAATCCAGCAGTAGGGGTGTATCACAATCCAGTAGTAGAAATGCATTACAACCCAGTAGTAGAGGTGTATTACAATCCAGTAGTAGAGGTGTATTACAATCCAGTAGTAGAAATGCATTCCAATCCAGTAGTAGAGGTGTATTACAATCCAGTAGTAGAAGTGCATTACAGTCCAGTAGTAGAAGTGCATTACAGTCCAGTAGTAGAAGTGGATTACAATCCAGGAGTAGAGGTGGATTACAATCCAGTAGTAGAAATGCATTACAATCCAGTAGTAGAGGTGGATTACAATCCAGTAGTAGAAATGCATTACAACCCAGTAGTAGAAGTGGATTACAACATAAGCATTTCTTGGCTTATCAGCTTTTACCACACCATACTGCAAATATCTTAAAGCCAATCATCTAAAATTCCTCTTTGTGGCTCCTACTCCATAGTTCTGTTTCTCCAAAGTGCCTAGAGTTATTTACAAGGCCCCACAAACCCATTTCTCAAGGAGAAGCCCCAGGTGAGAGCTCCTAGCAGAGCGATTGAACTAAAACGAGCAGGGAGGTGCCTTGGTGGGCATTGGAGCTGCTGCCAGCTGCCTGGGGGCTGCAGGTGAGCAGGCTGTTCTGCAGAGGTGAACGTAAGTGGCCCGAAGTTTAGAATCCGACTAGCTGAGGGCGAAAGGCCGACGCCCCTCTGCAATTCCTGGNCTGTGGGAAATTCCAGTGTAAACCTCTGTGGGAAATTCCAGTGCTGTGGGAAATTCCAGTGTAAACTCCTGTGGGAAATTCCAGTGTAAACCTCTATGGGAAATTCTAGTGCTGTGGGAAATTCCAGTGTAAATTCCTGTGGGAAATTCCAGTGTAAACCTCTGTGGGAAATTCCAGTGTAAACCTCTGTGGGAAATTCCAGTGTAAACCTCTGTGGGAAATTCTAGTGTAAACCTCTGAGGGAAATTTTAGTGTAAACTTCTGTGGGAAATTCCAGTGTAAAACTCTGTGGGAAATTCTAGTGTAAAATTCTGTGGGAAATTCTAGTGTAAAATTCTGTGGGAAATTCTAGTGTAAGCTTCTGTGGGAAATTCCAGTGTAAAATTGTGTGGGAAATTCCAGTGTAAACCTCTGTGGGAAATTCCAGTGGAAACCTCTGTGGGAAATTCCAGTGGAAACCTCTGTGGGAAATTCCAGTGGAAACCTCTGTGGGAAATTCCAGTATAAACCTCTATGGGAAATTCTAGTGTAAACTTCTGTGGGAAATTCCAGTGTAAACTTCTGTGGGAAATTCTAGTGTAAATTCCTGTGGGAAATTCTAGTGCTGTGGGAAATTCCAGTGTAAATCTCTGTGGGAAATTCCAGTGTAAACCTCTGTGGGAAATTCTAGTGCTGTGGGAAATTCCAGTGTAAACTTCTGTGAGAAATTCCAGTGGAAACCTCTGTGGGAAATTCCAGTGGAAACCTCTGTGGGAAATTCCAGTGTAAATTCCTGTGGGAAATTCTAGTGTAAACTTCTATGGGAAATTCCAGTGTAAACCTCTGTGGGAAATTCCAGTGTAAACTCCTGTGGGAAATTCCAGTGTAAATCTCTGTTCCCCCTTTGTGGTGGAGCAATGTTGGATTTTCTGACCCAGAGATGGAGCGACTGAGAGGTGTTTTAAAAACTTTTATTCTGTTTTCAGTCACGTGTTGTGATTCACACCATCACAATCAGAAGCCAAATATTTCTTAATTACAGTATAGTAGAAGTGTATTACAGTATAGTAGTGGTGGGTTGCAAGCTAGTAGTAGTGGTGGATTGCAAGCTAGTAGTAAAGGTGGATTACAATCTAGTAGTAGAGGTGGATTACAATCCAGGAGTAGAAGTGGATTACAGCCTAGGAGTAGAGGTGGATTACAGCCTAGGAGTAGAGGTGGATTACAATCTAGTAGTGGTGGATTGCAGTCTAGTAGTAAAGGTGGATTACAATTAGTAGTAAAGGTGGATTACAATCTAGTAGAAGTGGATTGCAATCTAGTAGTAAAGGTGGATTACAATCCAGGAGTAGGAGTGGATTACGATCTAGGAGTAGAAGTGGATTACAAACCAGTAGTAGGGGTGTTTTACAATCCAGGAGTAGAAATGCATTACAACCCAGTAGTAGAAGTGCATTACAATATAAGCGTTTCTTGGCTTACCAGCTTTTACCACACCATACTGCAAATATCTCAAAGCCAATCATCTAAAATTCCTCTTGGTGGCTCCTACTCCATAGTTCTGTTTCTCCAGAGTGCCTAGAGTTATTTACAAGGCCCCACAAACCCATTTCTCAAGGAGAAGCCCCAGGTGAGAGCTCCTAGCAGAGCGATTGAACTAAAACGAGCAGGGAGGTGCCTTGGTGGGCATTGGAGCTGCTGCCAGCTGCCTGGGGGCTGCAGGTGAGCAGGCTGTTCTGCAGAGGTGAACGTAAGTGGCCCGAAGTTTAGAATCCGACTAGCTGAGGGCGAAAGGCCGACGCCCCTCTGCAATTCCTGGNCCCTGCCTCTGCTGCAGCTCCTGGGCACTCCCAGGGCAGCTGCTCCTTCATTTGGGCCCCTTCCCACAGCTGGAGCTGCCCCATCCATGAAGGGTGTCAGGAGCAGACAGGAATATTTCACAGTGCTGTGCTGTCGTTGTTAAAAAACCACTTAGGAAAAACTCCTGGAATGAGGTTTGAAGTGAGAAAGGGTAAAAAACTGAATTTTCACTTTTTAAAATCCATGGCAGCTTCTCCTTCATTTGGGCCACTTCCCACAGCTGGATCTGCCCCATCCATGCAGGGTGTCAGGAGCAGACAGGAATATTTCACAGTACTGGGCTGTGGGACAGGGTTGTACCCCCTGATTAAAACCACTTAGTAAAAACTCCTGGAATGAGGTTTTCCTCATTGGGTTTGAAATGAGACAGTGAAAATTGTGTTCTTTACCCTCTTTAAAACCCATGGCAGCTGCTCCTTGATTTGTGCCAGTTCCCACAGCTGGATCTGTCCCATCCATGCAGGGCGTTAGGAGCAGACAGGAATATTTCACAGTGCTGGGCTGTCGTTGGTAAAAAACCACTTAGGAAAAACTCATAGAATGAGGTTTGAAATGAGAAAGGGTAAAAAACTGAATTTTCACTATTTAAAACCCATGGCAGCTCCTCCTTGATTTGATTTGGGCCCCATCCCTGGATCTGCCCCATCCCTGAGATGAGACAGGAATATTACACAGTACTGTGCTGTGGGACAGGGTTGTACCCCCTGATTAAAACCACTTAGGAAAATCTCCTGGAATGAGGTTTTCCTCATTGGGTTTGAAATGAGAAAGGGTAAAAACTGAATTTTCACTATTTAAAACCCATGGCAGCTGCTCCTTGATTTGTGCCAGTTCCCACAGCTGGATCTGCCCCATCCATGCAGGGCGTTAGGAGCAGACAGGAATATTTCACAGTACTGGGCTGTCGTCATTAAAACCACTTAGGAAAAACTCATAGAATGAGGTTTTCTTCATTGGGTTTGAAATGAGAAAGTGAAAATTCTGTTCTTTACCCTCTTTAAAACCCATGGCAGCTGCTCCTTGATTTGTGCCAGTTCCCACAGCTGGATCTGCCCCATCCCTGAGATGAGGCAGGAATATTACACAGTGCTGTGAGGGACAGAGTTGTGTCCCCTGATTAAAACCACTTGGTAAAAACTCCTGGAATGAGGTTTTCCTTGGGTTTGAAATGAGAAAGTGAAAATTCTGTTCTTAACCCTATTTAAAATGATATTGATACACCCTTGAGATCAAGATGGGTGACACATTTNAATACATAAATTGGGGGAATAACACAAGAAACTTAACAACACACTACCACACTGTGCCCCTCTCGGCCTGCAGGTGAGCTGGTGGCTCTGAAGAAGGTGAGGCTGGACAACGAGAAGGAAGGGTTCCCCATCACGGCCATCCGCGAGATCAAAATCCTGCGGCAGCTCATCCACCGCAGCGTGGTCAACATGAAGGAGATCGTCACAGACAAACAAGATGCACTGGATTTCAAGAAGGACAAAGGTACAGCTGGCTGCTGGAGGGGTTTGTGTTCACCACAGATGTGTTAGCTCTGCTCTGGGGTGGGTTTGTTGCTTGGAGTTCCTCCTGCAGGTTCAGCGAGGTTGGATCTGGCTCTGGCCTCGCCTCAAAGGACAGGTTCCAGTTGGAGGGAGTTGATTGAATTCCTGCAGAGTAGCCTTTAAAAAAACCCTGTACAGGATTTTACACTCATTTTTAACACTGATTAGTGGCAACAAACTTTCTAGTAGTGTGAAAAGTTCTTTGTCCTCAGTCACTGTGGAAAAAGTTTTAGCATCCACTGGTTCTTGTTTGGGACCTTCCCTTCCAGGAGAGAGAAGGGAACAACCCAGACACAAGTTCAAACCATGCATGGTAATCCTTCAACAAATTTCTTGTAAGAAAATAACCAAAGCATGAAGGTAAATGTGGCCAGAACTTCAGAGGAATTTATTTGAGTGTTATCTCAGCTCGGTGGGGCTGCTTTGTTATTTTGGGGCTTTTTTACCCCTTGAGGGAAAAGGACACCCAGTAAGCCCAAAACAGCAAACTGTTAAAAAAAACCAACTTCATCAGAATTGTACACAATAAAGACTCATTCAACAATTTAATCTCCTTTCATTCCTCCTCTTTTTTGTGTCTCTCCTTTTGTTTTCAACCATTTCTGTGTTTATTTTCCCAGGTGCCTTTTACCTTGTGTTTGAGTACATGGACCATGACCTAATGGGGCTGCTAGAATCTGGCTTGGTACATTTCTCAGAGGACCATATCAAGTCTTTCATGAAACAGTTAATGGAGGGTCTGGATTACTGTCACAAAAAGAATTTCCTTCATCGAGACATCAAGTGCTCCAACATCTTACTGAACAACAGGTACAAGGATCTTGTCCATAATTACAACCAAATGTCTCAATATCCACCTAAAAAAAAATCTCAGGGACATTGGCCTGTTTGTGGGAAGGGTTTGTGATGCAGATGACACTGAATTATTGGTTTTTGGGGGTTTTTTAACTTTGTATTTCTTTGAAGTGGAGAATTAAGCCTGGCATATCCAGCAGTAATTCCTGTGGTTTTCTGAGGCTTTTCTGCTGTACTGGGGGATTTCCTCACCCTTTAAATGAGGTTTAAGTAGGGTTGTGTTCTGATGGGTCCCTGACAGCTCAATGCATTCCATAATTCTGTGTTTTAACTGTGATTTAAACCATGGACTGGTTTTTTTTTGTCTTTCAGTGGGCAGATCAAACTTGCAGATTTTGGGCTCGCCCGACTCTACAGCTCAGAGGAGAGGTGAGAAAAGGGAAAGGGTTTGTCTGGGTGGGATGAGCTTCTTCCTTCTCAGTCATCCACACAATCCCTCACTTGGAAAAATCATTTTTAGTGATAGCATCGAGCTCCAGCTGTTGGACAGATACACTCCTAGCTGGTTAATTAATAACTTGCCATTAGAAGAACAGCTCAGAAAGAGCCAAAACTTCTTCTCTGCTTGCTTTGACCTACCCTGGAGTGAGGTTTGCTCCAAGCTCAGTCACCATTCAGTGATGGCAGCCTGCTGGGGGTCAGGGATTTTCAGTCTTGGGTACCTACAACAAATCCTGATTGCTGTAAAATCCATGGTACCTCCTCAGCTGTTTCTAAAGAAGTGCCGACACTTGAAACCCCTCTGCTGCCACCAACAGGTGTCAGTGCAGCTGGGAAGTAAAATCAAAAAATCAAAATCAACTTTCAGGCTTTTGTGACTCTTGGGATGAGTTTTAATCAGTGTTTTTTTTTGGGTTTTTTTTGCTTTGCAGCCGTCCCTACACCAACAAAGTCATCACGTTGTGGTACCGACCGCCAGAGCTGCTGCTGGGGGAGGAGCGTTACACCCCTGCCATCGATGTGTGGAGCTGTGGGTGAGTCCTGCTGCCTGCCCTGCCTCTGCTGCAGCTCCTGGGCACTCCCAGGGCAGCTGCTCCTTCATTTGGGCCCCTTCCCACAGCTGGAGCTGCCCCATCCATG